GACTTCAACTCCCAGAATTCCTCATCCAGCTTTGCTGGCTGAGGAATTCTGGGAGTTGAAGTCCACAAGTCTTAAAGTTGCCAAGGTTGGACACCCCTGCTCTAGACCCTGTCACAAAATGGCTTTCAAAGTCTACACGTCCGTGTACAAATTCACTGTTGTGGCCAGCATGATTAATCACAAAGTCCCCATTTCAGAGGAATCAAAGACACTCAGTGAGGTGAGGCAGAGAGCTCCACAACTTGTCCAAAACCTAAGTACAAGGTAGAGGTAGTATCTGGAACTTAGAACGTAAAAATGGGCCTTTGCAGCTCCAACTGAAAATATTGTTCAAAGAAAGGGACCGAGTGACCCCCAGATTATATCTGGACTACTTAATGTTGGCGGGGTGTCTTTGATCTGATGCTTCTATTGTTGGGTTGCATTGTATAATTTGAATTTGCTGGCTTGAAAGTACAGTGTGTTCCATCTGTATATTATGCAAACATTGTGCCAAGGTGCAATAGAGAGGTCAGTTGTGGAAAGCAGCTTTTCAGGGTGTGCCAACACTTCTGTTTGGGGTGTGTAGCTCTGTTTCACATTATAAAAATTTGCCCGTGCCCCGTTTTGGCTGGCAAAGTGCTGCAGGAGGCCATGCAGACTGAGAATGGGGGGGGGGCTCTCACAGCCCTCCCCCCGCACACTTTTTTGGCCGGCAGAGTGCTTCAGGAAGCGTCCGTCCCATCTCCGTCCCATTCCCACCCACCCCCGGCCAGCCTGTGGAGGAGAACTACAATGCTGATCAGGCCCTCAAAGAAATCCAGTTTGACACACCTGCTCTAGACCAATGCCATGCTCAAGCAGGAGAACTTTTATCCTTCCAGACAAATGATTGTTCAATCTCTTCTTAAAAACTTCCAGTGTTGGAACACCCACAACTTCTGAAAGCTAATCGTTCCACTGATTAATAGTTCTAACTGTCAGGAAATGTCTCCTTAGTTCTAGGTTGGTTCTCTCCTTGATTAGTTTCCATCCATTGCTTCTTGTCCTGCCTTTGGAGAATAAGTTGACCCCCTCTTCTTTGTGGTAACTCTTGAAATATTGAAACACTGCTGTCATATCACCCCAGTCCTTAATTTTGTTAAACTACACATACCTAGTTCCTGCAACCATTCATCGTACTATTTAGGGTCCAGACTCCTTGTTATTTTTGTTGCTGAAGGCCATAAAATATATATATTTGTACGATATTCCATTTTCAGCATCTTCTTGACGGCCATCCTGGGCCTTCCTGAAGCTTTGATCCCAGTCCAGTTGCTTTGGGTGAATTTGGTGACTGATGGACTGCCGGCTACAGCCCTTGGCTTTAACCCTCCTGACCTTGACATCATGGATAAATTGCCCCGGAATCCTAGGGAACCTCTCATTAGTGGATGGTTATTCTTCCGCTACCTTGCAATTGGAGGTGAGAACATTTTTAATGCCTATTTTGTGTGACTTCCAGATGAATAGATTTGAAATCCTAGAATGCTCCAGTGGGAGCATCAGAAATTGTTTCCTTTCCCTTCCCTTCCCTTCCCTTCCCTTCCCTTCCCTTCCCTTCTCTGAAAGCAGGTGAGTGGCTGCTGCTGGATGGGGGAGGGAATGAGGGATTGCATGGCTGACTGAGAAACTGCCACGGAACATTGAAAATACAAAATGGCAGCAAGAGCCTGGCAGCTACAAGTACTGTTAAATCAGCCACATGTTTCCCTTATTTCATTCACTCAGGAGTTATGGGTCCCAGATTTGGACACATTCTTTAAGTTAGCCTAATTGAGGTACCTTGGTTCAAAAATTGTCACTGTACAATGCATCATTTCACCCAGTTAAAGGTCATAATAACTAGAGTTTTAGTAGTATATATATTAAGGAATGAAACAGGTAATGTTTGAGCTGCTTAGATTCTTTGCTGAAGCATTGTATAGATCGAATTAACAATGTCTGATGACTTAGGGCTTTTATTTGAAATGTACCATGTAGTGATAGTGGTTGGAATGTAGTTAGACAGAATGGGTTGGGCTGGCTCCTGATATAAGCACCATAAAACGAAGACCAAAAAGCTATTTAACTTAGTCCCATTCCTTTATTTAATTTTCCTTTTCCCTTTGCAGTTTATGTTGGGTTTGCAACTGTAGGTGCAGCTACTTGGTGGTTCTTGTACGATGCTGAAGGACCTCAAGTTACTTTTCACCAACTGGTAAGTTAGAGATCTAAATAGAGAAAAACACAGTTTACATCTTTATATCTTGCAGAGAAGAGATGCAATGCATGTTATACCCAGAGCCAAAAATGTGGCTTCAGAGTAAATGTGGATGGCATCAGGGTGAGGCTAAGAACAGATGTAGCTCCTTAAGGATGAGCCGCACATCCTTACATACATGTACATACTGTCTTTTATCTTATTGCTTCAAGAAGATGAAGATATTATTGTTAATTTATTTAGACAGCTGATATTACAGCATTATACTTTGAAAAAAAAAATTTAGTTTATTTTATTACGCTTTTCCATAGGAATTCCTTTTCATTTCAAGGGATTCATTCTTCTTTATATCTATTGATTACCACTGGATTTGGTAACAGCAGGAGTTTCTGTAATGTAGGGAATCATTATGGATATCCAGAGACAAAATTTACTAGTTGCATAAAAAAGGAAAGCCATTAATTCCTACTTTGGCTAATGTCCAGAATGTGATGCTTTAGATTGTTTAGCCAATATGACAAATCTCACACAGAGCAAGAAAGCATCCCTACAGATGGACATGTAGCATCTAAAAATCAAACATTGACTTTTTTCCTGAGCTTTTGTGTTAACACAGAACACGGGAAATACATAATTTTTCTTTATTTAGATTCAGAGAGGCCATTAAACTTTGTTTTTCTATTCCTTGTGCTTTCAGAGTTATTTCAGCTTTGTTAAATCTTTAGATTTACAACCTGACTTTCCTGTAGGGGCTGAGTGCAATATAGATGGCAGAACTTCTTACCTTTTGAAATGATTATAGTATTTTCCTATTGCTTGTAATATTTGATGCATGCTGAGGTTTATGTTTTTTTATTTATTATGCTTTATAGATTTCAACCGGTTTGTAATAAAAACGAACAAGATCACAATATAAAATAGCCCAAGTTTTCATTAAAATGATAGTAAAATTCCTCCTGTAATGACTATCCCCAGTGAAATTAGAAGTCTTTATACCACTGCAAGCTTTGGAAGACCTTAATCTTCGAGCCGCACCTCGCAGCCACTGAGCCTTAGGTTGTGTTTTTCTGCCTACAGAGGAACTTCATGAGATGCACAGAAGACAACCCCATCTTCGAAGGCATTGATTGTGAAATCTTCGAATCCCGTTATCCAACCACCATGGCACTCTCTGTGCTGGTGACAATTGAGATGTGCAACGCACTCAACAGGTACTGTTGGGTGTGTCTTGAAGAAGAAAAGCAATACACTGAGACTACTTTCATTTTTTAAAAAAGGGATCGATAATATTTGAGTGCAGGATTTAGAGTGCTGTTCTTCCAAGAAATCTTGATGCTGACAACTATTTTGTGGTTGCATCTGCAGTATGCAGATGTCTACTGTTAATGAAAAAAAAGCTTGCCTGGATAATTTTCTTCCATGGCATAAATTCTTGAAATCACTGCCTGTCCACTGCCTGTCCATAGTCATGTCACTAGCATGCTAGGGAGTGCAGTAGAGGACAACAAACATTTATTTCATTTGTGCTTGTCTCTTGGTTTATCTCTTGGGTATTTTACTGCCAGGAATGGAGTGAGATGCTGTGGTGGGGTCTTCTGCCCAGTTAACTTGCCAGAATATTGAACATGTCTTGTAGGAACAATGGAATTTGTTACCTCTTTTTAGGCTGCAACATAGGTTGGATGACTACTGACATGGTAACCTTTTTTAAAACAATTATGTAGCATCTGTGTGCTTTCTATGGTTGTAGGTGTTGAGCTATCAACTTTGGATAGCATACAGATAGTCTTTAACTTACGACCACAATTTCCTTTCCTAAGCAAAATAGTTCTTAAGTGAGACATGCCCAATTTTATGACCATTTTTGCCATGGTTATTAAATTAATCACTACAGTTGTTAGATGAATCATGTGGTCAATAAGTAAATCCAGCTTGCTCCATTGGCTTTCCTTATCACAAGCTGGCTGGGAAGGTGAATATAATAGAATAGGATAAGGATAGAGTTAGAATTATTAGAAATAGAACTAGAATTAAATTTCTTTATTTGGCCAAGTGTGATTATACACACAAGTAATTTGTCTCCAGTCAGAGGCTCTCGGTGTACATACAAAACAACAGAGTAATAATAATCTTAATAATGATACCAATAAGAGGAGGTAGTAGAGAAGATGAGAAGGATAATAATAATAATACACCCTTACCACGTGGGTAAATAGGCATAAGAGTACTGTGGGATTTAGGTGTTCAGCAGACTGATGGCCCAAGGGAAAAAAACTGTCTCTGTGTTTAGTTGTTTTGACATGCAGTGCCCTATAGCAGCATCCCAAGGGAAGGAATTTATGTCCAGGATATGAGTAGTCTGTAGATATTTTCTCAGCCGTCCATGTAATATACAAGTCCTCAATGAAAAGCAGGCTGGTTGCAGATATATTTTTTTTGCTACAGTCCTATAACTATTCGTTAAAGTCTGTACCTGTCCTGTTTGGTTGTTTTACTACACCAGACAGTTGCTGAAGTAGGGATGACAGACTGAATAATTCCTCCGTAGAATTGTATCAACAGCTCCTGGAGGTGGGGGGTGAACTTTCTGAGTTGACCCAGAAACAATGTTCTTTGCTGTGCCTTTTTAATGATGGTTTTAATGTTAGGTGTCCACTTCAAATCCCTGGAGGAGATTATAGAACCTCCAAACTTGAAGGACTCTTACAAATGGTGATCACAAAACCTGGGACACCGCAACCATTGCATTTAAGTTGCCAAGCCTTTGAATTTTGATCACATGACCGTGGGGATGCTGTAGTAGACATAAGTGTGAGGACTGGTCATAAGTCACTTTTTTCAGTGCCACTGTAACTTCAAACTGTCAGTAAACAAATGGTTCCACCTGTAATTGTCATTGCTTAGAACTGTGTCCCTTGCCTCAAATGACATAGAGCAGTGGTTCCCAACCATTCTGGCTCCATGGACTGGCAGCAGAAGCAGCATCAGGAAAGAGGAAGAGATAGTTTCGCACATACAACCTATATCCCATGCTTGCGCAGCCTGGTTCCTAACAGGCCGCGAACAAGTACCAGTCTGCAGACCACCCATGACATGGAGCTAAAACCAGGGGAATGAAGGAATGTAGATGCCTTCAGAAAACTAAGGAATTGGGGATGCATGATTAGCTTTTGTCTTCCCTACAGTGTGTCTGAAAACCAGTCGCTGCTCAGGATGCCTCCCTGGCTGAACATCTGGCTCCTGGGAGCCATTGTCATATCTATGGCTCTGCATTTCCTGATTCTGTATGTGAAGCCATTGCCTGTAAGTAGTGTCTTTTGCACCCAAATTGGATTTAGAAGGATGTCACTAAGCCACACCCTGTCTCCACTGCCCTCTTTGGATTCCTGGTAGCAATGATGGGCAATGTTGGTTTCAGGATCCCAGAATCCCAGGATGTCAGAGTTTGTTGCAGAAATCGAATCCAGAAAGCACACACAGATACTGATTCAGCAGGATTCATTAACTTCTTTATATACACGATAAGACATGAAGTAAATTCACAATACCAACAGCAGATTCTTCCAACGTGAGCAGAGGAGAGAACAGCAGAGAACAGTTTCAGTTTTGATTCAGAGTTGCAAAGTAGACTTGTAGCTTCAGAGCTCAGAGATCAATACAGAGCCACGCCCATACTACTTCCAGTTTCAGTTTGCAAACAGTCCTCATTGGCTGACCTTGTTACCATGCCTCTGCCAGGTCGTGAATATTCTGACACAGGATTTCGGATCTCAGTTGGGGGAATTCAGATACCAACATTGCAAAAAATCAGCAGCAGGGTTCCCTCCCTTTTTGAAGCAGCAAATACACAGAAACAAGAACCTAAAGCAGTATTTCTCAATCTTTGCAAATTTAAGACTCTAGGCTTCTTTGTAGAAAAACAGAATGTCTGCCTGGGGAATTCTGGGAGTGAAGTCCCCCAGTCTTAAAGTTGGTAAGGTTGAAAAACATTGGTCTGAAACAACAAAAGAATGTAAAAATACAAATGAACAGCAGCTACATCTGGTTTTGGGAAGGCCCACACCTCTTCCTCAAAAAGTTAGGTGTGGTTCCAGATTCCAAAATGTTGCCCATCCTGAAATTTCTTGGTACTTCAGCAAGCCTGACTGTCCTTCAGGTTTTTCTCTTTGGAACACTATAGAAGCAACAACATCCACAGATTTAAGCTTTGAAAGTAGCAATAGCAATAGCCCTTAGACTCATCTACCACTCCCCAGTGCTTTACAGCCCTCTCTAAGCAGCTTACAGAGTCAGCATATTGCCCCCAACAATCGTGGGTCCTCATCTTACCCAACTCGGAAGGATGGAAGGCTGAGTCAACCTTGAACCAGTGAGAATCGAACTGCTGGCCGTCGGCAGAATTAGCCTGCAATATTGCATTCTAACCACTGCGTCACCACAGCTCTTGACCTAACCCACTTCATTTTCTTATCTTGCAGCTGATCTTTCAGGTGATCCCACTTAGCTGGCCTCAATGGGGAAAAGTGCTGCAAATCTCTTTGCCGGTTATCGTGCTGGATGAAGGCTTGAAGTATCTCTCCCGTAATCATTTAGATGGTGAGTGCCCTTGCAGCAGGATTGCCCATCAGTTTTGTGGTTTGTTAATTGTGTTGATATAAGGCACAGCTTGAATTGCAAAAGTAGAGGACACAATGTAAAATAAATACCAAAGCCCCAGCCTTCCCGATTTAATTAAGATAATATTTTAAATTATGGCCTTCTTCTGCCAGCATCGTTTTCTAGAGCTGTTGTGAACAAGCACTTAAATTTATGTACTTACTTACTTACTTACAAAATTTATTTACTTATTAATGAAATTTATTTGCCGCCCACCTCATATCCAACGACTGGAATGAGTGGCTTAAAACATTAAAGCATTAAAAAACATTAACATCATCAGTCATAGAAACACAGCGGATAAAATCGTTAACAAATACCAACCACCAACACCAGATGAGAAAGGAAGAAGCCAGGCACACAGGGGGTAGGGAGATGGGATTAAGTCTTAGTTAGTCAACAGCCTCCAGTATGAAGCTCCTCCATTGGTGTCTCCAAGACATCTGGCAGAGCCAGGTCTTAAAGCCCTCATGAAACGTCAGGAGGGTGAGAGCCAATCTCACCAGTGGTGGGATTCAAAATATTTTACTACCGGTTCTGTGGGCATGGCTTGGTGGGCATGGCAGGGGAAGGATACTGTAAAGTCTCCATTCTCTCCCCATCCCACTAACCTGCTTTCCAGCTCCATTTTCCTGTGCGGGAAACAAAAGAAGACCCAGCCAATCAGCTGGGACTTGAGAGGCAGAGAATAGATGGGGGCGGGGTCAGTCAGAGGTGATATTTACCGGTTCTCCAAACTACCCAAAATTTCTGCTACTGGTTCTCCAGAACTGGTCAGAACCAGAGGTGGTATTCAGCAGGTTCTGACCAGTTCTGGAGACCTGGTAGTGGAAATTTTGAGTAGTTTGGAGAACCAACCCAGGATTGGGGTGGGAATGGAGATTTTATAGTATCCTTCCTGTGCCTCGCCCACCAAGCCACACTCACAGAACCGGTAGAAAAAAAAAATTACTCAAAATTACCACTACTGGTTCTCCAAAACTGGTCAGAACCTGCTGAATACCACCTCTGAATCTCACCTCAGGGGAAAAGATGTTCCAGAGCAGGAGACTCCAATCTTGGCAACTTTAAGACTTGTGGACTTCAACTCCCAGAGTTCCTCAGCCAACAAAGCTCTGGGAGTTGAAGTCCACAAGTCTTAAAGTTGCCAAAGTTGGAGACCCCTGATCCAGAGGACACTGCAAGCATCATAAATATGAACCAGTTGCCAAGTGTCTGAATTTTGATCACATGATCATGGAGATGCTGCAATGGTCATAAAACTTTTGTCAGGGCCATTGTAACTTACGAATGTCACTAAATGAACTGCTTTAAGTCGAGGACTATCTGTATGAGATGTGTTTCTGTGTGGTACATATGGAAGAGTTCTGTAAATCTCCCAGTTATACAGACTGAAGATCCCCAGACTGAGAACAATCCAGCCATCAAAATCTTAGTCTTTGCATTTTAGTCATGCATGACAGGTAGTCCTCAACTTATGATCACAACGGAGCTCAACATTTATGTTGTTTAAGCGAGAAATTAGTTAAGTGAGTTTTTATCCCATTTGATGACTTTTCTTGCTACCGTTGCCAAGTGAATCACTGCAGTTGTTAAATCGTTTCTCCATTGAATTGGCTCATCAGAAGGTCGCAAAATGGTATCGCATGACTTCAGGATACTGCAGCCGTCATAAATATGAGTCAGTTGTCAAGCATCTGAATGTAAATCACGTGACCACAGGGAGGCTGCAATGGTCATAAATGTGAGCAACAGTCATAAGTGTGAAAAATGGTCATGTCACTATTTTCAAGGCTGTTGTAACTTTGAACGGTTCGCTAAACAAAATGTTGTAAGTCAAGGACTACCTGTACTTTTGCCCCATTTGTAGAACCAAATTAAGAAAGCATTTAGATCACTTTCCAGCAGCAGAAGAGGGTTCTGGCCCTTAATGTTTGCCATCCTTATCAAGTTAGTTATCTTGAGGTCATGACTGCTTCATCTGTCGATAAAGCCATGATTTGCTCAACCATAATTGACCGAGCAAACAAAAGTAGCTAGGTACACAGCATACGTTAATCCAAAATGAAACAAACCATGTTATGGCATAATACAATGCTTGAATCCATTTAAGATGATAAAAATGTTTTCTGCAACGAAAATCTTTTTGTCAGGATTCCAGCAATCAATCTAATTGATCTAATAAATCATGATTCTCAAGCCAAACTTCAAAAAACTTCAAAGGGTTTATTAGAGGCGACATACTGGCACTGCCCTGTATGAAGCGAACTCCGGCAAATGTAATTTACAGTCACCTGTGAACCTGTTTCCCCTCTCCCCCCTGGGTGTCTCATAAACCAGATTCTCCAATTGAGCACGTTCACGGGCTGGGTGTCATCATTCACATTCTCCAATTAAATATATTTGCAAGCAAAGCTCTGGTATTTTAGTTACAATCTTTTAAAGATAAGAGTTGGAATATACTTTAGCTTTCAAACTGCTGCACTGCTCTTCCAGATTTCCTTCCTCCCCCCCCCCCTTTTTTTTTTATGGCAACTACTAAAACAGGCATAGGAATGTTTTGTGAGTTGACGCTTTTCTTTTGTTATTAAATTGTGTCCAGTTAAGGAAAGGTGAGCACAAATGTAATTTATTTATTTATTTTTAAATGTTGCTTCCTGTGTCCCTATCCCCAGGCAAAGAAAGCAAGAAATGACCAGCACAAAAGAAACTCCGCTTCTCCGCAAAATGAATCGTAAACTCTTACCTGGGACTGAAGAAATTGCATGCTTGAACATTTCCAAAAGACATCAAGGAATATGCATGTTTTTGAAGTCTCGGACTTAATGCGGGTGAATTGTCAAAAGAAATGAAAAACTGATATTTTTGTTTTGTTTTTCTTTTTACTTTTGTTATGTAGCTGGGTTTTTTTTCCCTGTATATAGTTGTGCAAATACTGGACAGTTAAATTATGGCTGGGGAGGGAGGGTAAAGTTTGCTCTTTAATGGAGGCAAAGCTTTAGAGATCTGCTTCTGAAGATTTAATTTCTTTTTTTTTAATCTCTTTTTTTTGCACCCTAAGAACTGCATTTTTCTCTTGAAAGAAGCAATTGTTTGTGAGATATTCTATGGTTCTTGTCAGAAGTAGCCCCTGGTAGGATGAATTTATCCTTCACCCACAAGACCCTCTTTGACACAGTCCTGTCAGGTTTTATGAGACAGAAAATACCACATGACTTGAGGTAGCCAATCAGATTTTTTTGAGAAATATGTTTAACCACCTGATTGGCTACTGTATATTCGTCATATTTTACTGGAGACTGGCTGCTGAAACCATGCTTGGCTTTGCGTAGATGCCTAAATTCTAAAATTAGAAGATGGCTGCAATGCTTGTGCTTGCAGGCTTATGAGAAAGAGGGTAGAAAAGTTCAATATACCCTTAACCATCTACTTCTGCCATGTTTCGTTCTTGTGTGGGAAACCTTTTCTCCCATCTTTGTTTCATAGCCTCCAGCTTCTTCTATACCAGAAAGCTGAATTCACTAGTAAAGATTTAGTGTGAAAAGCTGGTATTTTGAAAGAAAGATTCAAAAGATTTTAGTTTTGCCATTTCTCTCTTATATCAATTCTTTATTCAAAGAATAATTGCCTGGAGACATATCTATCCAAGTTTGTATAACTGTAGACCATAAATATATAGAGAAATGTCTCATTAGAAGTCAACTCATTGATCCATTTAGCACAGGTGTGTCCATTCTGCGGCCCATAGGCTGCATGCAGCCCTGGATAGGTAGTAATACAGCCAATAAGATTGTAAACCTTTAGCATTACTATGTGATTTTTAGCAATATTTTATAAACAGTAACTATATTACATGTTTTGTATGCAGCCCAAGACAATTCCACTTCATTCAGTGTGGCTAAGGCAAGCCAAAAGGTTGGACATCCATAATTTAGCCGATCTGACTGGTGGGCTATCGTTTTTCTCACTTGCTGCCTGAAATCTTTGTAATTGGAGGTATTATAGACTGATTCTGTGTACTTCTACAAAAAAAAAATCCCCTGAAATATTTTGCCACAAAGCTATTTTTGTGTAAACCACCGGTATTAATTCATCTTGGTTAGTATTCGTTTCTGTGTGAACTGTCCAGAGTGGCCTTCAAAGATATAATTGGGGGTGCCATAAGAGCAGAATAATCATAATAGTTACTTCCTAACAAAGGGATAGCATGATTTAAGTGTCAACCTTCCCTCTGTATAGTTTATTCTTAATACCCCAAAGGTGCTTTTTTCAAGAGGCAACTGGACTTTCTGGTTTTGAAGATGTTTCGCTTCTCATCAAAGAAACTTCTTTAGCTCTGGATGAGAAGAGAAATGTCTTCAAAGAAAAAACAGAAAGTCCAGTTGCCTCTTGAAAAAAAAGCACCTTTGGGACAACCAGGATCTGGATGACTGAGAATCTCCATAGACATTTATTCTTAATAGATCTCTCAAGAAGAAAATAAAGAGGGTCCAGATAAAATTCATGAGTGATATAGTAAAAGAGAGAGCAATTCTGTCTCTCCATATCCTAAGAGACATGGGACATTTATGCAATTTAGTTTGTGGTCCTTGAAGATTTAAGGAGTGCAAATGTCGTCAGTTGGGGCAAGAGTTTGCATTCTCATTACTTATCAAACCTGGCTGTTTTTCAGGCCAGGTGCCTATAACCTTGATCTGTATAATCCATATCTCTGGCAGATGTAAACAGGTGAGATTTGAAGGCATGGATGCCCGATTTTAATTTCTAACCATGGATTTCCATGGAAAGTTTCCATACTTTTAGATAGTTATTCTTACAACAACAGCAAATGTAGGTACGTGGAGAATCATAAATGATGAATCCCAGCCTTTGGAAAGAAGATGATATTTCAGGCTTGAAGACTGTCTTTGCAATATGGCCAAAGGTTTTTTCCCCCAGGGAAAAAAAGGTAGTCCCATAGTAATATTAACATGAAGTCTGGGTGTCCTACCTGACAGCATTTTTTTTTTAAGAACAGTACCTAAGAGCAGATGGTGATTATGGAGGTGAAGGATAATTATTAAATTTCTCTCACACCTTTTCTCCAGAATTACAAGATAGCTTACATGAGCTTCTCAATTTTACTCTGTCAACAACAGTCTTTTGAGGGGCTGGGCTGGGCTGAGAAATAATGATTGTCCCAAAGTCAAGCTTCTATGATTGAGGGGGACTACTCCAACCTGAAGCAGTAGACACGAGCTTAAATGGATTCCAGAAAATGGTAGAGGATAGGAAGGCCTGGAGGAAGGAACGTCCATGGGTTGCAATGAGTCGGACATGATTTTGCAACTAACTACAACAAGAACTCCAACCTCATACACTAATCATCCAGTGTCCCAAAGGTGCTTTTTCAAGAGGCAACTAGACTTGCTCTGTTTTTCCTTGAAGATATTTCGTTTCTCATTCAAGAAGCTTCTTTAGTTCAGCTTCTTAGATAAAAAGCCAAACATCCTCAAGGAAAAGCAAAGGAAGTTCAGTTGCCTCTTGAAAAAGCACCTTTGGGACAGACATGATCTGGATGACTGAGAATCACCATAGATATTTAACCGTGCAGTGTATTTTGAATTCACCTCTTTTTTTTTGCACACAGGAATTGTTTTTTGAAATGAGTTTCTAAAGGCAGGTAACTTTAGAGGATTCTAAGGGCCTTTTCTCACTGTTGTTGAAATGCTTCCTACCCATATCCTAGTCAGCAGAAAACAGACAGAATACTGACTGACTGTCTTGCCTCTTTTTTTTCTATCACTGGCAAACATCTTTTCTGGAAAATGAGGGTTGATAAAGCTTGACGAACATTATATCCCTAAGTAGGGAGGAAAATGCAACTTTAGCACCACTGTATCTAAGGATGGCTTAAGAATATGTCATGGGGGCAGGGAATACAATGCTGACAACATCAAGGGGACAGGACATATTTGTGTAAGAGGAAAAAAAACCCAGTCTTTGTCCCTTATTTGTTTTTCTGCATCCAAGTTCTTACGGCTATTGGCTGTCGTATGTTTCGGCTTATTTAAATAGATGCTTCCTGAAGCTACTTAATATATTGAGTTTTAAATGTATGTTTGCACTGTGCATTTCAGCTGACTTCAATCTAGTCTTACTTTTGATCTAAGAACACCTGGAAAATGAAATACAACAGAGCAGCAGAGGAAGAAATTGTCTGCACCTGGCAGAGCTTCTGTTCTCTGCATTACTTACCGTGTTTAACCAACAATACGGCCTCCACCAATAGGAAGGCCCAGCATGTTTTATTGGCATAAAATCAAAGTAAGCCCCTCCCCCCAAATTCAGGCCTATTTTAAAACATGCAAAATAAGGGGGAAGGGCAGGGGGACTTGCCGTTAGGAGCGCCCCGCGGGAAGCAATTCCTCGCCACCAGCTGCTCCTAATGGGCGATCATGGCAGAGCGCAGAGAATTCCCTACTCCTGCCAAGCACATTTGCTGCAGACCCGAGACCTTCAGTGCTTGCCGCTGTTGGTTTCCCTTCTGCCTATACTGCTGCCACGTTTGGAGCTGCCACTTCTACATTTGGAGCACCGCCGCCGTTTGGAGCTGCCGCTTCCGCATTTGGAGCTGCCGCCACGTTTGGAGCTGCCGCTTCCGCATTTGGAGCTGCCGCTTCCGCATTTGGAGCTGCCGCTTCTGCATTTGGAGCTGCCGCCACGTTTGGAGCTGCCGCTTCCGCGTTTGGAACCCCACCACTGTTTGGAGCACTGCCACTGTTTGGAGTTGCCATGTCCACATTTGGAGCTGCCGCCACGTTTGGAGCTGCTGCTTCCACGTTTGGAGCACTGCCGCTGTTTGGAGCACCACTGCCATTTGGAGCGCCGCCGCCACTCCAAACACAGCGGCAGCTCGAAACGCGGAAGTGGCAGCTCCAAACGTGGCGGCGGTGCTCCAAATGGCGGTGGCACTCCAAATGGCAGCAGCACTCCAAACACGGAAGTGGCAGCTCCAAACGTGGCAGCGGTGCTCCAAATGGTAGCAGCACTCCAAACATGGAAGCGGCAGCTCCAAACGTGGCGGCAGTGCTCCAAATGGCAGCGGCACTCCCAACATGGGAGCGGCAGCTCCAAACGTGGTGGCAGTGCTCCAAATGGCAGCGGCACTCCAAACACGAAAGCGGCAGCTCCAAACGTGGTGGCGGAATGGGCAGAAGGGAAAGCAACAGCGGCGGGTGCCAAAGGTCTTGGGTCTGTAGCAAAGGTGTTTGGTGGGAGTAGGGAGCTCTTTGCGCTTCGCCATGATCACCCGTTAGGAGCAGCTGGTGGCGAGGCTGCCCACGGGGCGCTCTAGATGAGGATGCAAGGGGGGGAATTAAGTCACCCCTGAAAAGATGGCCTAGCCGTTTTTTCGGGGCTGAAAAAAAAATAAGGCCCGGCCTTATTTTGTGAGAAACACGGTATCTTTGTGTGATTGGTTTGCTTGCTTGCTTGTTTATGTCTCTGAAGGAGTGACATTGAGTTTACATGAGTTTTGTTCCTCTTTAAATGTGCTGTCTGGGTTACTGAATGGAGAAGGGCAATTAACCGTGAAGCCAGCAAGACTTCATATGAATCTAGACATATGCCGCACCAACTCAGGGATCTTTCTCTGGCACTTCCATGTTTCGTATGTGGGCAAAGGTTTGGCTTGAAGTATTTGGAGTTCTATCATAAAGGTCTTTCATAATTAATTTTACATCATTCCTTTTGAAGGGGAAAAGAAGATTGTGTATAAACAGTGTAAAAGATTCTATCTTCTGGCGCTGTGGGGTGTGTTTTTTCCCCTCTTAATGGTCTCTTGAACCACTGAGACACATTTCAAAAT